AAAAATGAGGCCTCTCCGCGAAAAATCTATCTAGTTTTTCCCCTTAGGAGCTAACCCATTGAATCTTATGCCATTCGATAGCCCTATATCTCAGCTACAACTGGACGGAGGATTTTTGGGAAAAAAATTTTTTTTCGCTGAGATAATGCATTTTTACTAAAAACAAAAAAACGCTGCACAGCGCTTTTTTGTTTACATATACATTTTTTCAAAGTTATATTTTTTCCTAAGCTTTTGGGGGGTAAGGGTGATTGTGATAGATGTCTCGGTGACTGTACAGATAAAAATATAAATCTTTAATGCAAAAGAGCTATATCTCGGAGATAGTAGCTCACTACTGGCTTTCTGTTTGTATTGCAGATATTGTATAAGCCATATTCCAGTAATTTTATTTCTCGAAATGCCAAAGCGCAAAAAAAGTCTTGTTCGGACTAAGTCCGCATCTGAGAAACGTCACTCAAATGAAAATGTGAGTTCTAGTGAGTCTGAAGCCACTCTCTCCGAGGACGAAGAGCTTTGGGAGGCAGAAATGGAGGAGACATCACAAGGAGAAAAAGAACCGTTGAATTTCACGAAGGAAGTTTTCATCAACGACATCGGTGATTTGTTTGGTAAGTGAGCTCCGCTAAGGAAGTAACCTTGTGTGTCTAACTTCACGTTTTTTAGAACTTTGCAAAACCACGTGTCCAGTGAAACACTTAAGTGTTTTAGTTTATATGATTATACGGCACCTTGGAATGAGTTGGCGTGCAGGCACAGACTTCCTGAGCCGTATCGAAGCACAGACAGCGGAAACTGCCCACAAGTGGACAGAATGTTTTGTTTCGGGGAATTTAGAGGATTTTCAGTCTGATAACCGTAAGTGCTCTTTCCGTGCTACATTAAAGTGACAGTAAATCATTTCCGGTTTTAGGTGGTGGAAAACATATCTCAGCATTCTGGGACTATTTTCCAGATATCGAAGAGGCAGCTAAAGCCTATGCTTTTGAACGTTGTACAGAAAAATCTGCTGGCTTTACTAGTATGGACTTAGCTGTGGAAATCGATAAAATGTTTTATGAAACTACCGGCATAGTGAAACGTAAGTCTGCGATTGACTTAAAAAGCGCCGCGCCCATTGATTTTCAAAGTTTTTTTTATTGCAGAACGTGACAGCTCTCTCACTCGTTCTGTGTCGTCGTGTCGTTTGGACCTTAAGTCCTGGGGTTTTAAATTCAAGGAAAATGGTCAACGTCCTTACTACGAAGGCCATGAGAAGCCTGATGTCATAGAAGATCGCAAGAATTTCTTGAAATTCTTTCTAGATCACAAAGAACAATGTTATACCGTCAGTGACGGAGATCAACCAGTATGGACTCAGCCCGTAAAACAGCCACCGCTAGCATTACTATGTAAGTATGTTCAGTAGGGAGTTTAATGTATTAATCTCGCGATATACTATTTCAGTTCATGATGAGAGCAACTTCCGAAGTGGAGAGGTGTCCGCAAAGCGTTGGCTTTGCGAAGGACATGAACCGTTTCACTTCAAAGGTCGCGGAAGAATCAATATGATTTCCGACTTTGTTACTGCACATCCTTCTGGCTCTGCCTTTAAACTCGATAAGATTGAATGGACAGCAGCTTGTCGAGAATTTCCAAAGCTAACTGAAACTCAAGAGTTGGTGAGTTTAAATTATCTTTAGCTCTATTTTCCCATCAAAGAAAATTTTTTCTACAATTTTCTCGCAGGAATATGTGGAAAATACGTGTACAGCCTCAATTCACATTGGAGTTGACGCCTATTTCGATAATTCGACGATTCTTACTCAGTTTGAAAGGCTATTTATGATGCTGAAACATAAAAAAGCATACGCTGGACATAAACTTGTCGTTGTCTGTGATAATGCGCGGACGCATACGACAAAGTCTCACTCTATACAAGATTTTAGTAAGTCTATTGGCACAAAATGTCCAGTTCAATCTATTGAGTACGTCGGTCATGACGGCGGAAAGAAAATTCTAGAGTGCTACTTTCAAAGTGGAGTTCACGTAAGTCCTGACGCTCGAAAACCGGAAATTTCATTTAACGAAAATAATGTTCTCCTTTTAGAAAGGTCAGAGTAAGGGTCTCGTCGAAATAGCTAAAGAGTTGAATGTCAAACTGCCAAATAAAATAAAATTAGATGAGTTAAGAAGTCTTCTGTCGGATCATCCTGCTTTTAGAACGGTAAGGTTGGTTTTTAAGTTTTCTTCTAGGATGTCCTAAATAGAAAGTCTTCTCTCTCTCTCCTTTAGAAATTCAAGCTAGAGCAGTTGGGAGATAAATACGGTGTTACCATACTTTTCTGCCCTCGTTATCATTGTGAGTTAAATATTACAGAGGGCCTTTGGGCTTCCATGAAATTATATGTAAGACGTTACACAGATCAGACGTACCCGACCATGCTCAGACTCATTCCTGAATCGAGAAAAAATTTTGAAGATAAGAAGATTTATTTGAAACTTGTACGACGATTCTGGAAGGCTATAAAGGCTTATGACGACGGTCAGTCGTATGTTGATGTAATGAAGATGTTCTTTTCGACGAATTGTGAAGGAACAGTAGTTAGTCACAGGAAAATCAGTAACAGTCGATTAGATAGTTAGAACAGTTATCGTTTGTACATAGTTATGATTTGCATTTTTTTTTGTTTTTTTTGAGGCTTTGATTTTGTGATTCTTGTGATTTTTTGTTCGACAGTAATTACAGTAAACGATACGGTTGATGATTGCGAAAACCAAAGTTTAAGGACGGAAGATAAGGTTGCGGGGGGAAAAGCAACTAAAAATAGTGTCTCGCAAGGCAATAACCAAGCGAACCCTTGCTTGAAGTGTTCCAGTAACCAGCTAGAGACTCAGCTGCCTCTCTCGAATCAATTCTAATCACAAAAAAACACTTCAGAAAATTTTACATTGAAAAAATGTATATGTAAACAAAAAAGCGCTGTGCAGCGTTTTTTTGTTTTTAGTAAAAATGCATTATCTCAGCGAAAAAATTTTTTTTCCCAAAAATCCTCCGTCCAGTTGTAGCTGAGATATAGGGCTATCGAATGGCATAAGATTCAATGGGTTAGCTCCTAAGGAGAAAAACTAGATAGATTTTTCGCGGAGAGGCCTCATTTTTGAGGCTTTCCGGTTTTAACCTTTTCAAAAAGTTTAATTTTCGGAACTCAGGGCTAAAATGTACTGGGCTAGACTCAGTTTTCAATGGTGAATTTAACAAAAAAAAGTTTGAGTTGGTAGCAGCTTTCTAGAAAAAGTTATGAGTATTTTTTGAAAAGTAAGAAATTTTGGAAGTTTTTGGAGGTTTTCAGTATTTTGCAATATTCTCCCCCAAAACAAAACATTTTTGAATTTTCAAGGTGATATTCGTGATCAGCATCAAATTCTACATCGGATGGTGTACCTTTTAGCGAAAAACAAAAAGTGCTCGAAATTTACTTTACGTGCACCTTACAAATATATGCGAGGAAATGAGATAAAGTTGCTGATATTTGATTTTATTCATCGTGAGCGGACATACGAACCGATGGTAATAGTGATCGTTGATTGGCATTGAAAATGATGCATATGTTCACCTTGTTCGTATTGACCAGCTTCGAGAGATGCCCCTTGTGATACCATTGGCATCGTTCTTTTTTCAATCGATGGATCCTTATAATAAGAAGAACAAAAAAAAACGATAATTAAGAGTCTGGTAAAATAGACCGATTTTGGGTTGATCATTCGAAACATATTATAGAACACTGAAAATATTTTTTGAAGAAAACGAATTTAATGAAAAGTCGTAAAAAAATAATTTCATTCAGAATTAATTGTATAATAATGAATTGATATCAAAAGAAGTTATGCTTGGTTAGAATTCTACTAGTTAAGATTTTGTATTCGCATCTAGAGGAATTCGTCAAACTTCAAGGTAACCTGATTCTCATGCACATCGAAATGATGTAGTAATGATGCAACATGGGAAAACCGAAAAAGCTCATTTTGCTGATAAAGCAAGAAGCTCAAGAGCAAAACTGAAACGAATAAAAGACGTGCTGAAAATTACAACGTACAATGTCCAAACTCGGAACAACTACAAGTTGAACAACTCACAGTCGGCTGTAATGAACAAGGTGTAGCTAGTCGTTATATAATAACATAGACAAAGATTTAAAGATACAGAGATATTCGGATGATGGAAAATGGCTACTAGGATTGGCATCAGTACTGGAAGAAGGAAATAGTGGTGTTAGACTACTAATGAAGACCAAGTACAAAGAATTGCTAATGAACATCGAAAGAGTCAGTAATAGAATCATAGTTGCTTATTTCGCAGACAATCTAGCTTTGTCAGTCCTATCGGCGTATGCTCCAACCGATATGGCAAACAGCGATGAAAAGAGCGAATTGTATCCCTATACCCCCTGTTAGCTCTCCCCCTTCTTTAGCCCTATCAGATTGTATCAAATCGATACCAAAGCATAATATAAAATTAGTATTAGCTGACATGAATACCAGAATTGGAAGAGATACGTCATCCAGAACAATTGGATCGTCGTTGTACCACGATAAAACGAATGCCAATTGAGAGAGATTGATTGAATTATGTGAAATGTGTGACATGCGAGAAACACATTCAAGGTTTAGACAGCGTCAAGGTCGCCTGTGGACATGGAGACATACATATGGTCAAATCGCACTGCTGGACCATATCCTTGCAACTCAAAACGAAGCAGTTTGGTGCATAATTGTAGGGTTTACAACACAATGATCGTTGACTCAGATCATCGAGTTGGGTGTTGTAAAATTTAAATTACGGTTAAGAGCTGCAAGGAAATGTAATGTTACAAGCAGTCGTTACAACTGTGAAAGTCTAAAGAATGATATGGTAAAAGAGAGATTCAGCCTGGTGTTAGCGAATAGATTTGAAGTTCTTTAAAATGTCGAAGCTGACGATCAATCAGATGCAGATAAAGCTGAGAAGGTCAAGATGTTATAGTACATTGATCGAAAGTATAGATGGAACAGCAAATGGGGTAGGTGTTGTGCCGCAAGAAGAAGATTAGTAAGAAGACCTGGCTCAAAAAAAGAACAATCATGTTCATGAAGGAACGGGACAATGCAAAACTACTCTTCGAACGTACTAGAACATCAGATAACCGTTCAGAATGGAAAGAACTATCTTCAAAAGCTGAACAGGAATGTAAGAAGGATGAAATGGAGTATCTGGAAGAGAAAATACGTGATTTGAATACAGCGTTCAAACGACATAGGATCACAGACGTCTGGAAAATAGTTAACAATATAAATGACAAGAACGGAAAGAAGGTAATTAAGGTAAGGCAAGAATGGAAAGCCAATTAACAACATCGATACTCTGTTGAATGAACTACCGATGTACAACATTTGTTCTAAAGTTCATAAGTCAGGCATTGCTTCTAAACAATGGACTGTAGATGTGATAGTGAAAGCGACTTACAACAAATGAACAATTATAGAGGAATATCATTAATGTCGGTGGCAGCAAAATCATACAATAGAATTCTCCTGAACAGACTCAGACCACACTCAGATCTAATCCTGAGAGATAATCAAGCTGGCTTCAGATAAGGTGGGAATTTCATATATCAAATACACATATTGAGAAGAATTATAAAGGATGTCACAAAAAGAATCTACTATTTGTTGCAACATTTGTGGACTTCAGAAAGTATTTGATTCCATAAATCGCGTTATGCTGTTTATTATCCACCTAAGTTATGGAATTCCTGAAAAAATGGTAGATGCAATTAGGTTATTATACAATACATCCTTAAGTAGTGTACTAAGAGATGGACGGTTAGCAAAATGAATTGGAATATCTACCGGAGTATTACAAGGTGGTGTCCTCGCACCATTCGTTTTGATTATTGTTATTGATTATGTAATGCGAAGATGTGAGATGGACAAATATGGGTTTATATGCGAAATGAGAACATCTGCACGACATTTGGAAAAGTAATTAAGTGACTTGAATTATGTAGATGATATATGCCTCTTAGAAAATCTTATTCAGGGAGCACAACAACAACTAGATGCCCTTAATTCGAATGCTCTAAGGGTTGGTCTAGAAATAAACATCCTCAAGACTGAATATATCACTAATATGAATGGGGCTGACGCATTAAATGTAATGGTGTTGACCTTGAAATAGTGCAGAACTAATGGACTCATCAGAGAAGGACATAACGTAAGAATCGGACAAGCATAGTCAGCTATTCGAAAACTGGAAAAAATCTGAAGAAGAAAATTATCTGCTAGATGCCATCAAAGTTAATCTGTTTAAAACATCTTGCCTATTCATCCTGCTGTACGGCAGTGAAACATGGTTAATAAGGGAAAAGATAAAACGCAAATTAAATAGTTTTGCAAGTAGCTGTTATAGAATAATGCTTGGGATCAGGCGTAGAGATCATATTTTCTAATTACTTTTGCAAGTAGCGACAATGCAAAAGCTTGATAAATTCCTAGACAAAATGCAGTAATAACTCTTCCATAAAATACAAAATATTTCAATTATTATTATCCGATGTGCTATGTTGAGCGTCATAAAGTGCTGCTTTTGAAGATTTTATTCTTTTTGCAGTGTTTGCTTGCTCGTTATCTTTAATTTTACGTTAAGAATGAGACATGAAATTACAATTTTAAAATAATATGAGATGTAAATAGTATTCACTGAGCTAAGAAACAAGTCTTTCTTCTATGAAGAGGAAAACAGCGATTGTAAAAGAAGTAACAATTGTAAAAGATGTAAAAGAAGCAATTGTAAAAGAAGCTTTTCTTAAGAAAGTAAGCATCCGCAAGAAAATTGAGCATACGTCGAGGGCTGCCTAACATGGTTAAACATTCATTCTTTCCCCTCAGCCGAATTCAATTCGCCATGCAAAGTTATCTATAAATTAGTATTTTTAGACCTTCGGAACTGAAAGTAACCGAGTTATTTATGAGTTTTATACGAAAAACGCAAAAAAAGTAAACTGTTTTTTATTGGAAAAGAACGTGGACAATATGTCCAGTAATGAGGCGTACTTACAAGAACTATTTTTTCATCATCGCAGCGAACAGAGTTCTCTTCCTCCCTGTGCAAATACTTTCTTACAACAGATGTCAATGAAAGATAATAAATATCTCAAGTTCTATACAAGCAATTCAGTTGAAATTCTTGAAGTAAATAGGCCAGAAGTTAGACTATCCGAGAAAAAATTTCATCGCTTAACTTGTTATGTTGATCGAGAAAGTATTACT